TCCTCTCTCTCTCTCTCTCTCTCTCTCCTCTCTCTCTCTCTCTCTCTCTCTCTCTCTCTCTCTCTCTCTCTCTCATCTCTCTCTCTCTCTCTCTCTCTCTCTCTCTCTCTCTCATCTCTCATTCTTTTTCTCTTGTTCTTTTCTTTTTTATCTTGTGTTTGTCTTTTACCAATGCTATAAAAAAAACTTTTTATACAAACCTGCCCTTTATTACAGATACTCATAACATAACAGAGGACATCATGGAACACACAGGCAGCTTCCACAGTGCTCAGGAGCAGATTGGATTCATCCAGAACTACTATGCTAAGGCAGATGCAGACCCCCTTTTCATAATCATCCATAACCTTGATGGGAATGTGTGTGGAGAGAAGACCCAGGCTGCGATGTCTCAGTTAGCGACTGCACCAAAAATCCACCTCCTGGCCTCTATCGATCACATTAATGCACCTCTTGGTAAGACTGTGTGCTTATGTTCTCATTCATACATATTTGATGTATATTGTGTTATTATTATTATAATCATTTATTGCTATTTTTAATGTTATCATCATCATTGTTATGTGTTTTCACCTGCAGTTTTTGATGGGAGCAAAATGAGTTGTTACAATGCCCTCTGGTGTGATGGAACAACACTTGGACCCTATTCAGAAGAGACCTCGTATGAAAACTCTCTCCTTGTGCAACAGTCTGGAGCCCTTGCTTTGTCTTCGCTAATTCACGTATTCAAGTATGTTGATAAGATATGGATTTATATTGAATTTTAGATTCAGAGTACTCTAGATAGCAGATTCATATGAAGACTTGAATTCAAATTGAGCTTTTGAGGCTGTGGTCTACTACAGACCTCTCCCTGTATTCTTTGCCTTTCTTTTCTTCTCCTTTTATATTATGTGTTCATTGCTAATGATCACCTTATGCTTTAACACAAATTAACAACAAATAAATTGCTGTGCTTCTCAATCAGACAGTTTGCTTTTAAGCTGATGGAGCAATAGATTTTAGTGTTATAACGTAATGTGTTTTTCAGGTCATTAACTCCAAATGCCAAAGGTATTTTCCTGCTCCTGGCTAGACATCAGCTTCAGCAAAAAGATAATTCCAATTATGGAGGTGTGTATTGCTTTTGTTGTTTTTGTTGTTGAAATTGTTTTATATCTGTTCCCTAATCCAATCAATCAGGAAATTATTTGCTATGACAATATTAAGCACATCTGCAGTTTTGATAATGTAAAGATACATCATACTTTGTCTTTCAGGATTGTCCTTCAATGATATGTACCAGCGATGTAGGGAAGCTTTCTTGGTTAACTCTGATCTCACCCTCCGTGCTCAGCTAACAGAATTCAGAGACCACAAACTCATTAAGTCTAAGAAAGGTTTAGATGGTGTGGAAAACCTTCTGATTCCTTTAGATCCTGCAACTCTGCAAGAATTTGTTAATCAGCAAGAAGCTGATGGTCTGTGATGAAACAAGTACAAATTAATTGTGATAAATGTTTTTAGTCTTAAGATATTTTCTTCCAGATTAAATGCCTCAAAACATGTTATCGTCTAAGTATAATTTTAATGTTACTCAAACCTGTTGTTTTCTTTGGTGTTCATTGAAAGACTAATTTTGATTGTTTCCCAGTCAGGTTTTTGTGATTGTTATTTAACTTATTTTTTTCTTACTCTTTTTAAGTTCAGTGTGTCAGTCATTTAATGTGTATCATTTTTATACTGTCTGAGAGATCTAAATATTAGTTGTTATTTTCTTTAGCTGAAATCTCATAGCTTTCCTTTATTTTTATTGAAAAATTGTACCAAAATCTGAAGTGTCCAAAACTTTCAATATTTATATTTTTAAAACAAAATACTGTTGAAATGTGATTTTTTTCAGCTCTCTTGTCTATTATGTAAACTTTTTTCTCATATTTTTATGATACAGGGCACAACTAGAATGTTCAGAAGCAATATTTTGTTATTTTTCATATTGTGATGAAATATTTTTAGGTGAATTAAGCTTTATTTTTATCAGAATAAAATTTCTAAAGAAATATGTTCTGAATAATACCTAATACATTGTATCTTGATAAAATGAAATTTGAAATATGATGGGAACAATGGAAAGTACAATGTGCACATACTTTTAAAAGCATGTTGAGTTAGACAGAAATGTGCTTCAAATCATCACATCTCCATTATCCTTATTAAAACCATGATAATACAGGACTCCCATTGGGTTGGACGCTACATGAAGCATTCTCATTCACATTAATACCTTGTAATTTGCTAAGTTATTTCCAGCTACATGATACATTAGAAGAGACAATGTATTTCTATTTCCTACATAGTGACTCAATTATTGATAAGTTCTAGGACTCTTCACACTGTTGCCAAATGGAAATGAAAGTGAGCATCCCTTCTTTATGTAAAGGTCCTTTTCTCTTTTGGTAGCGGGAAAATTTTACATGCAGTTTTCTGATTAGCTCTGCACTACGAAGAATGTGAAAATATCCTCAAGATATTATTATTATCAAATATAATGAACTTAGAGAAAATAAACTCTATGAAAAATTAACAAAAAGCAAGGAAAAGAGAGAAATCACTGACCTTGAATACAAAAAGAAAAGAAAATAATTCATCTGTTATCTGATTTACAGCCAAGTTATGGTAGTGTGGCCTCCACAATACTTGGTCAGAGTACAAACAAACATAAAATGGCCTTCTTTTAGCAGTTAATATTTAAAATAAAATCACTGAACTGGTGGCAACGTGTTATGAGAAGAAAATTGGTGAAATTAAAAGTACTGAAAAATGAAGAGTATATAATATTACACTTGAATAAAAAGTGTACATAATACACATATGTAGAATACTATATATAGAAGAATCAAAAGAGGAAAGGAACATCTTTGGTATTGCAGTATTAATGGGCAATTTATCAAAGGATTTTGAGAGCAAAACATTAAAATGTTATCTATAAGTATTTTTTTCTGAATCTAAATTATATAATTCATGGATTTGTTTGTACCTTAGAATGGTGACTCCATATGAGTGTTACCTTAATGACTGCAATTTGCAACATGATCCAGTCTTTGTCCAGAGAGCATGTAGACAGTGCTGTCTTTGGGGGGGAAATCTCGTAGTAGAAGTTAGAGATTTACTATAAAGCTTCTTTGAGAAAAGAGAAGTAAAACACACATCATGTTTTTCATGTCTCTGAGTCATTTACGATCAGACCATCTACAGGAAGTAAAATGTAACAATCTGAACAACTGAACAAAAAAGAAACATTGATTATGTAGAGTAATAGCTAAAGCTTAGGAATATTCAGATGACAGCCAGTTAGGATCTACATATACGATTATCTTGTGAAATTTGCTGGTACTAACCATCCTATGCAATATTTTTGTTTTATATAAAGATTCATGATTTTTAGATTAATAGGACCAAAGTTGAGGTAATATAAGGCTCATGATTAAATATTTTGGAAATTATATGTTACGGATTGTATTTGGTGGGGAATTCAGTTCAATGCTCAAAGTTGTCAGTGTGCTGATAATAACGATATTAATGATAATAACGGTGGCATGATCAAAAGAGTGATGATGAAGATGATAGTAGCCATCATAGAAATTATTAAAATAGTAATGATAGCATATTACATGTAATATAAAACTAATAAGAGCAGTAATGAACATTGGTGTGAATTTACAAGGAAGAAATGGAGAAAGTGTGATAGTTTAAGCAAATTTGTGTGCGTGTATTTGCTGGCGGCGTGCAGGGCCCGGTGAGGCGGCAGTAGTCGTAGTGACGTGGATGGTACAGCAGCTTCAGATCAAACTGTCGCAGTGACTAGTGAGGGAGGTGAGGCCTCAGGTAATTAGGGCGCTGCCGTAGCCGTTATAGACAGGATCGAGAATGATCTTAGCTGCCCTTTTTGCACCCTTTCGAGTTGTAACTGCTGGGGCGGTGAGAGGGGGGGGAGCAGGCGGGGGAGGCGTGAGTTAATTTGGACAGGAAGGGAGTTAAGGCAACGCGACATGTGAAGCCTGCACGAGGCAGACCTCACGCTGTCCATGAGGGCAATCCGTCGATGGTGACGAGCAGCTTGGTGGAGTGGACTACGTCGTGAGGGTGGTTGTCCAGAGCCGGGACGGGCGAGGGGTCGAGGTTGTGGAAAAGTCGAACAGCATCACGACCTACTTCTGGCAGTTGGCGGTAACATTGGATGCGTTGGAGGGGGAAGTGGTCAGTGCAAGAACTGTCAATGGCAGCGGTGATGGTCGAGTCATCCGCGCATTTCTAACGATGCTCAGTTTCCAGAAGCGCGTCGTTAATCATGACGAGGAAGCGCAGGGGGTCTATATGTGTCCCATTTGGGATCCTGCACGTATGTGGCAGGATGCCCGTGGAAGCAGCTGCTTTTGAGATGACCTTGGTGTGGTCCACAAGGTCGAAAGCTGAAATCTATGAAGATGCTGGTGACGGAGGATTCACGCTTGTCGAGATGGGCAAGGAGGAGGTCGAGGAAGCTAACGAGGAAGTGTTTGGTAGAGGAGGAGCGCATGTTGCCGAACTTCCGAGTGTCACCGCTGGGCGCGAGGTTCTGGTGGGCCCAGTCGGCGACGAAGCTCTCACACAGCAGGCTGAGCAATGGAGTGATGGCGATGTCGAAGTTCGGTGAATGAGGTTTGGGGTTTTCCCGATGGCGGTGACATAAAAGGTCTTCAATGCGATGGACTGTGTGCGTGTGTGAGCGTATGTGTGCGTCTCCTCTTGTTGTGTGATGTGTGTGTGTGTGTGTGTGGTGTGTGTGTGTGTGTGTGTGTGTGTGTGTGTGTGTGTGTGTGTGTGTGTGTGTTTGTGTGTGTGTCTGTGTTTAAGTGTGAGTGTGAGTGTGAGTGTGCACATACATAGAGCCTGTGTTTGATAATGATGGAAATGCAGATAGCAGTAGATATGATAATATCCAATAATAATGATAATCATATCAATTTGGATGATAAGTAATA